TCCAGCACAGCGCTCAAACTGAACTGCTGTTCTGGAACTGCTCTCGGGTTTTGGGATCAGTATGAACGCAGCCTTTATGAGTAGATATAGAACGCGACAAGTAGGCAAATCGCATTTCAAACATGCCGCAAGATGTTTCGGTAGCCCAGCTGTTTTGGCGATCTCAATCCAGACTTTGTTCAGACGGCGATACTGTCTCTCGAACTCTTTGATAGATGATGGTCGGTACAAAGTATCATCTTCCAGTTGATATCGTGTTATGGCGATGTCTAAATCACGAGGTATCATCACAAAGTCGCCCTCCTTATCACTAATCGAAACTCGGGTTAGGTGATCTCTCCACGAGAGCAGGGATCACGTAACTCTTGCAATTCAAAAATATCGAATTTATGTTTGAGGGTTACGGTAGGCATACGGTATGGGGACCAAAATCTCAGAATTCGCTAAAACTTTCTGTAGGATCATTCGAGCTGCTGATCACAGATATCACGCTTTTCCGCACGAATATATCTCCCTGCATGATTACGATAGGTATATAGGCCGTCCGCGCCGTGCTCAGAAGGCAACGCAGTTGCGTCCATTGGAAGTACTTCGTGACTGGAGCAGGAGCAGAGAAAACGCGCGGCGAGAGTGCCCTGCGCGGACGGCCTATACGATAGGTGGTGTCAAATTCTATATCTGGCTGGAATTTGGTCTGGAGGGGTTATTTAGCACGCTGAACATAGATATCACATTGCTTTTGTACGGTAACGCCATTTCGTTGCTGCGGTTTGTAATTACATCTTCATCTCATTTCTTCTACTTGAGTTAATTTCGGAATTTATATAAGCTCAACATTCCTGGCTTCGCTGTAGATGATTCTGTTAGTTCAAATAGAAGATGTGTTTCCATTCAGCTCTCGAAATAAAGGCCAAAAGATTACGCGGCGTTGTACTAGATATGCTGATATTGATTGTGCGCGCTGAAGCATAGTGTGCATACACAGAAATTATCTAAAGTGATGATTTTTAGAGGATTTCCTGTCAAGAAACATCCAACTTTCCGCAAGCCTACATCATCAAGGTTGGCTTGTTTCTTGCAATCCTAATCTTCTTGAATAAATGACTATTTGCAGAGGCTCAAATACATCAGAAAAGTCGAAGGGGTCGCAAAGAAAATCCAGACGCAAAGAGTAAGCTTGAACAAAGATTGACATAACCGCAATAATCACTATCAGAACTTCATCGGACTTCTCCTCGTCCGTTAGCCGTGGCCTGGTTGGAGATTTAGACGTAAGCGATGGCACAAGAAGCAGAAGGAAGAAGGAACATCGTGAAAGAAAGAAGAGGGAGCATCGACCATCAGAGGCTCCAAGCAGCGAACAGCAGATGTTTGAAGTAGAGTGTTTTGCTTGTTATAGCAGGTCTCGAATCGCACACACAAACAAACCTTTAGTCCATTCGAAATATCATGCCTCGTGAGGAGGAATGTGGGCAGCAAAATCGACCTGATATGGAAAGTTCGCAGCCTCCTCCTGTCTCCAATGATACAGCTTCACAACAACCACTCAAAGGCATTGCCAAGTGAGAAAACGATATATCATAATTTGACGTACAAGTAGGGTTTAGGAGCGTTTACATTGGTGTTTGCAACTTTGCAAAGGCTGAGGAGCAAGTGGAGAAGAGATCGGACTTTCGTGTCTATCACCAGGTATTCTCAAATTCTTTTGGAGTCCATTCTAAATCTAGGTCATAACATCTTACAGCTGGCTCATCGTCCTCTGTTAGACGATTTGGAGCAGGAGCTACCACTTATTGTTGTATACAAGACAGCCAACGGATCATTTAGGTCGAATAGAGAAAAATCATGTGCCCCTTTCTCAAAACATGCAATTATGTGCTTCTTATAGGCACTATCCCATACGTCGTCGCAAGGTTGGAAACTCTTCTTACTTTTATGTAGATTACGGAGATCCGAAAGTGCAAGCGCATGCATCACTCGACCACTTAGTGCGATACTATCAGGTAAAAGAATCTCAAGATATTCGTTGCTATGTTGTTTACATCGTAGATCAATGCTCAAAGACATCCAAACAATCGCCAGTATGCAGATCAATTCCCTTGGTGGGAAGTGCACCTATAAGAAATAGGAATGGATTTGTGTAAAATAACTGATTTCGAGTTCACCTGCTATTTTCTATTTCGTTTTTGTGCGAACTCATTTTTATATTTCTGTCAATGCTCCAAGCATTACGAAATAAAGAGTATTAGAAGTTGCATAGCTCATTTTCTATTTGTCTAGAATAAACTGTGGAAGGCAATATTTATCAATGATGTACTTACTAAAAAGGCTTCGGTTGAAATGACAGTGGGAGTATAGCTGAGCAGGAAGACAACTAAGCATAACAAAAGTAGTGTTACGGAAAAATAGTAAGTGCTAAATTTTACAGCGTTGTATGCAGACCCCATTTAGCGGTCAGTGACTGACTAGAGCAATCAACATTTATTTAACCTTAAGTCACTGTGGAGAGTGCCAAACCTCGTCTCCAAATAGGAACATCCTTCAACCACCAATATGCATAGCGGAGA